AAAATTTAATAATAATAAAAAAAAAAACAAAGGTGAAAGCCAAGGATCAATGTGAAAACAAAAACAAAAACAAAAAAACAACAACACAACAACAATGTTCACTTATTTCCTGTCCTTCTGAAAGCTGGACAATGAATAAGGAAGACTAAGAAGAATAAATGAATTTTGAATTGTAGTATTGGACAATACTGAATATCTCATGGTGCGCCCATAAATAAATAAAATCCCTAAGTAAATTTCTGGAAGGAGGAGCGGCATCTACTTCCAAAATGGCTTGCCTGTGGAAACTCTATGTACAAACAGTGCTCAGATGGATCTTGGCAGGAAACAGTACCAGAGGTATGTCTATCTGTGTTTCATTGACTATGCAAAGGTTTTGACTATGTGTATTACAACAAATTGTGGATGACCTTGAGATGAATGGGAATCACAGAACCCTGACTGTATTCATGTAAAACCTATACTCTGACCAGGAAACAGTCTTCAGAACAGAGTATGGAAATACTGCATAGTTCAAAACAAGGAAAGGAGTGGGTCAGGGATGTGTCTGGACCTTTTCAATCTATATACAGAACAGCTCATTCTGGAGGCTGGGCTTTATGAGGGGGAACAAGACTGAAAGAAGACTCATCAACAACCTATGTTATGCAGATGACACAACTTTTCTTGCTGAAACTGAGGAGGACCTGGAGTGCTTGCTGCAGAAGGTCAAGGACTGTGGTCTTCAGTATGGTTTGAAACTCAACATCAGGAAGACAAAGATTCTCACCACTGGGCCAATTGATAGCATTATGATAGATGGAGAACAGAATGAGGTTGTTAACAAAGCTTGCTTAGCTCCACTGTCAACACTCTTGGCACCGGCAATCAGGAAATCAATGAATTGTACTGGAAAAATCTGTCAGGGACCTCTCCAGAGTACTGAAAAGCAATGATGTCAGTCTAGAGACTAAGGTATGCCTGATCCAGGTCCTGGTCTTTGCATTTGCTTGCTATGCACCAGAAAGCTAGACAATAACTGAGGAGGACAGAAAAATCAATACCTTTGAGTGTGGTGCTAGAGAAGAGTATTGAACATGCCATGGACCACCAAGAGAACAAATAAGTCTGTTTTGGAGAGAGAAAAACCAAGTTTCTCCTTGAAGGCTAGGATTCTGAAACTTTGTCTCACATACTTTTGGGCACATGGCCAGGAGAGACCAGTCCTTGAAGAAGGTAATTATACTTGGAAGGATGGAGGGACAGCACAGGAGAGGAAGACCTCGGATGAGATGGATTGATACATAACTGGGGGTATTGAGGGTAGGTATTGCAGTGTGTAGGAGTCAGTGAGCCTGGCTCAGAATAGAGCAGGTTTCAGAGCTGTTGTATATAGGGTTGCTATGATCGCAGGTGACTCGACGGCACATAACAACAACCTGTTACTTCCTTAATAAATTCCATAATTGTACCTTTTGTCTGTGAGTTTGATGTGACTGTGACAAGTTATCAAACCCTGTAGAGAAGTTGAGAGTGCTGTGGGAGTGATTGTTGGTGTCATGATTGTTAAAAATTTGAAGATAGGAGCCATCTGACCTCTACCTTATAGGAATCAGGTTTGGGCTGATGCTACTTATGGTAATCTTCACTGGTAAAAAAGGTCAGATGCCCCACTACACAATTTTTGCACCTACAGTAGCTCCCCATTTCTGACAGAATAAAAGCCAAAGTCTTTTCAGCGATCTACAGAGCCCTCAATGACCTGGCCCAAATTACATCTCTGGTGTTATACCTGTGGCAGCTGCTTCTTGTTGTGTATGATCCAGTTAGAACTGACTTATAGCTGACGTGCCAATGGGCTTTCAAAGGTGCTAAATCACATGGCATGGAAGGAGATTGCCCATCTCTCTCCTATGGCACACCTGGTGAATTCAAACCTCATAACTTTGAGTTGGCAGTGCACTTCCTTACCACTAAGCCACCAGAGCGTCTCCTTTTTCTTAATATTGTTGTATGCCAACTAGTTGGAACCAGTCCATAGCTTACCCGCCAGCAAATTTTCACAGGCAGTAATCGCATAGGAGGAGATTGCCTATCCTTCTCTTGCAGAGCACCTGGTGGGTTTGAACTGTGTGCCTTTGAGATTGCAGTGCAGATTCTTACCACTAGGCCACCAAAGCTCCCCTTTTATCTGATATTGTTGTATACCATTGAGTTGGAACTGACCCCTAGTTGACCATTCAGTGCGTTTTCAGAGGTAGTTAACAGGAAATTGCAGTACAGCTTCTTTCCACTAGGCCACCAGTGCTCCACTTTAATTTCACTTGCCATAATTTCATGGTAGAGTACTATGCAACACCAATAAGGAAGAATTTTATAAACACATTAAAATATGATTGGATCTAGAGGATATTATACAGAGTTTAACATGTCAGTCACAAAAGGACAGATCCTTTTATAAAAAGCAAAAGAAAAGTTTATACACAGAATCATTGGATGACTGTTAAGGATGGGTAAAGGAGGGGAGAGTAAAAATTAGTGAATAGTTAATAGACACCTATTAAGATAGGTGAAAGGTAAGACAATATACAATAAGGGATGACCAGCACATTATCACTGAAAATAGAGAAAGACTGATGGAAATCTGAATTTGTAGGGAGAGGATGAGAAAAGTGTGAGTACCTTACAGGTATAGAAATTATTACAGAACAAAGTTGTTGAATGAAGAGTTAATTTTCTTTGTAAACTTTTACTCATCCCCACAGAAAATTATTTTCTAAAAAAGTTATTAGAAGACATGAAGAAACAATAAAATGGAGGTGCTATAAAAGTAACATGAAAAGCTGTTAGACTTTCACGCGCTGCTCTGCACTTTGCATTAGTTTTTAAAAGAAATTAGTTTTCCTTTAAAAACTAATGCAAAGTGCAGAGCAGAGAGTGAAAGTGAACGTCCCCTATCATACAGATACCATGGTGGATACCTTGTGATCTGAGCTTCAATGTGATAGCAAACACATTGCTGGCCCACAGCTGGAAGGAAGTACATGCGAAAATAGACTTTCCGAATTAGTCCTTTAATAAATTGCAATTTACTTGGCAGACGAAGTAAAAATAAAAAGGAAAAGCTAGCTAGATAGCTCCTACAAAAGGAGGGTGATTTATTGAATTTACAATTTGACTCTGGCTCACAATTTTGTCGTCTGTATCGAGACATTAGTAGTTTCTTCAATCCCACCTCTCCCAAATCAGGGCAGCTCAGAGATAGCTTTCTTGGGTGGAAGACCAGTTGGCTTCTCCTGTTCTCTTGCTTTTTCTTCATACATCAGGATCCTGGTTGAGATGCAAAAATATTTAGGCAATCAGGGAGCATTCCTCTTGAGAGAGTAGTTATAATTAGACTCTTTGGAATTATAAGGGTGGAGAAATCAGAACACTAGAGGCTGTGAGGACCAGAACCATGGATGGAGATGTGTGTGATCTTGGAAGTGTCTAAGGATGGAAGAAACTGAAGCTGAAGCACATGTGGAAGGTGAGCTTAGAAATGGGAAGGGACACGGAGACAGCTGAGTACAGGGGAGGCTTGATCTGGACCCTTACATTTTTAGGATGGCAGATCTCTTGCCTAGCATCATCCTGAGGAAGTCATGGTAACTGAATGTCTCTCCAGAACCACTGGACACCTCCTGGATTAATTTCTTTAGTTCCAGATGGGTCTTGGGAACCCCAAGTTTTTCCATCATTCGCTTCAGAGACATAATGTCTAGTGGCAGAGGAAGGGAGGAGGGAAGGACAGTCAGCCTCTTTCTTCTCTGCCCCCTCCCCCAAACTCCCTGTTTCTATTTCCCTTCCTCTAACTGATAGGAGAGTACTTCAGGCAAATCTGTCCTTCCTAGGCCTGCACACTCCCCCATATCACCCTTTTCTCACCGATATCTCCATTTCCATTCAGGTCGAATTCCATGTATTTCTCTGGGTGGGAGAGGGAGAGAAAAAGCCAGGAGAGTAATCACTGGGTAGGCTGGACAGGGATTGAGGATGGTTGCTGAAAGGATGTTAAATAGGGAGAAAATACGGAAGAAACCCAGGGTGGGAAGGTAGTAGTTGGGCGCAGAGAATAGTAGATTGAAGGTCTTTTTAAGGTGTGAAGACCTAGAGGACAAAATGAGATGTGCAGGCCAAGGATAGGGCCTATACCCAGTGGGGGCTGTAGAGGCAATCTCCTCTCCCCACCACAAAAGTAAATTTTGTACTTCAGTGTCCCCTCTCCTCTCCTTCTCCCCACCCTTCCCCATTTCCCTGCTCACTCTTGAACGTTTCCAGTTTGCAGGGCAGGTCCTCATCACTGCTGTATTTGGGATCCTCCAGGAATTGCTGTTTGGGATGGCAGGAGGCGGTAAGGGCCAGGGCAGACACCCTATTCCCAACAGCCCAGCACTTCCTTCTCCAGGTCTTGCCTGCTTAGTGCCTCCTTTTACCTTGTTGATTTCTTCCAGCCGTTCTTCCTGTTGGGCTTTCAACTGTCCGAAAGCTTTTCCTCCTGAGGGAGCACAAAGGTTCATAGACCCTTACACCCAGCCCAGGGGAATCCAGTTTGGCTCTCCTAAACAAGCTATCTGCCCTCTCAGGCCTCTGGTGTAGGTCTATATAACTCCTTGCCTGCTCATCTTTCTTACCTTGTAAGTCCACTGTTAGGCTCATGGCTCTACAGATTCTGGCAGATGACAGAGGACTGAGCTGGCCAGCTGGCTGGCTGACTTCTGCTGGTTTGCCTCTCCCACGGCCCCGCCTCAGAGGTCTTTGTATCAAACTTCCCTTTATTCCCCCTCCTCTACCTCCCAGGCCTCACTTCCCCATCAGCTTCTGCTTACTCTAGCACCCAGGAAGAAGGGGGAGTCTGGTGTAGAGATGCGAAAATAACATTCTCCCAGATGCCTCTTAATGAAAATCTTGTAAGTGCATGGGAGGAATATTTTGATAAGACACTGGAGGTGTGGCTGTCAAGTCCATTCTTTTTTTTTTTTTAATTTTATTATTTTTGTGTGTGTGTACCGTCAATATTGTCCCTCCTTCCCCGGCAGAGCATCTGGTGGATTCGAACCATGCGCCTCTGGGATTGTAGTTGCAGCTCTTTGCCACTAGGCCACCAGAGCTCCCCTGTCAAGTCCATTCTAACTCATGAAGAAGATCCCATAAGTCAGAGTAGAATAGCTCCATAGGATTTTCTTGGCTCTAACCTTTAGGAAAGGAGGTCACCAAACCTTTTTTTCTTCAGTGCCACTGACTGTGGGTTCAAACCACCAATCCCTGGGTTAGTAGTTCAACACAAACCATTTGTATCACCCAGGGACCACCGATAAGACCCCAGGAGCATTTATTCTCAGGAACAAATTTTTTCCAAATAGGTCCCGAAGTTCAGGCAAGCCCTTCATTGTGGGGAGTGTTGTGAGTCTAGGCACACTGGCTTGGATAGGGAACAGAGACAGACTACCAGTGTGGAGAGGTGAAGAATCTGAAGTCAGCTGGGAGTTCTGAGAGGAAGTCAAGGAAGGTACAAGGCCTGGAGAGGGAGAGAACACTCACTCCCAGCCTGGAAGCTCCATGGAGAGACATGGAAGTATGGAAATATCCAACAAAGTTTTAATTTGTTTGGTTGAGAATGTACAATATAACTCCCTCTTCTTACCTCCTTTGAAATCTATACTAGTACAACAGAACAAAGCAAAGCAAGAGTGTAAGGAGAGTCTTTGGGAAAGTGGTGCTGACTGCTGTAGATTCACCAAGTGGCTAAGTAGCCTTTGATAACACAAGGTCTTCCTGAAGCATGACCTTTAACCCCTTTGCTGCATTGTTTACCTAGATGTTTGTGAAGATAGTACATTCCTCAGCCCTGAGGTCTTCTAGTCCACACTCTACCCACTCTGCCCCTGGGAGACATCTATCCTTCTCCATCCCTTTCTGAGCCTTATTTCCTCTTTGCAGCTGAAAGTTTCTACTTTTTACTGCCCTTTCACTGACTTGTACAGGTGGTGGTGGCTGTTGTGTGCCATCCAGTCAACTGTGACTCAGCCTGCCTGTACAGATGGAGAGGGAGAACTGGGAGTAGACTTTCACTTCTTAGCTTCCTTTTGTTGCAACTGTCTGTTTCTCCTGTAGAGAGAGCTGCAACTTTGCATTTTAAAGATTTCAGTATCCAGTGGAAATACATTACTTTATTCCTACATTCATTCATCAAGTATTTAGTGAGTACTTACTATATGCCAGGCACCCTTCTCAGCTCATTTCCTCATGGACATCCTAATCAGGGAACTTAAGGAACAAGGAAAATAAGCATATTAAAAGTGTTAGATGCCTACAGGATGATCAAAGCCAGGAAGTGCTGGTAGGTGGGTTCAGTTTTAAATAGAGTTGTCAGGAATGGTTCTCTGAGAAGGGGATACTTGAGCAAAGATTTTAAGGGGATGAGGGGAATTAGCTAGCGGACATTTGGAAGAAGACAATTTCAGATAAGGGAACAGCAAGGGCAAAGACCCTAATGTAAGAGCACTTGTGGATAACATGGTGTAGCAGGCAAGGTAGTACAACTGGAGCCTACAGCTTGCAGGGCTGTTGTGAAGCCTCTGGCTTTTATTTTGCGTGATCCTTCAATCAAGGATGACTTGGTAATCTACTATGGTGGAATGAGCTTAGATGGTCAGGAAAAGGTCCTGGGATAGAGAAAGTTGTCTTCTGCTCTGTTTAATGAAAGCAAAGCCTTTTGGGTGATTAGAAGGGCAAAAAAGGAGTCCTGGTGATGCAGTTATTAAGCATTTAACTGCTAATTGAGATGTAGTCACTTTGAAACCATCAGTCACTGTAGGAGGGAACACTGGTGGCATAATGATAACTTGCACAACAATCCAAAGACGTGTGTTTCGAATCCACCAGATGCTCCACAAAAGATGGAATTGCTCCTGTGTGATTACACTGCCCCTGAAAACCCACTGGTGGGTCAGCTATGGGTTGGTTACAACTTGGCTGTAGTCAGCAACAAGAAGAGTCACTCCAGGAGAAAGATGAGGCATTGTGTTTCTGTAAAGATTAACCTGTTGATGTTGAGTGAATTCTGACTTGTAGCAACACTAAATAACAGATAAGAACTGATCTATAGGGTGTAGATTTCATCTTACTTGGGTCCACAGCCCATACCATTGGAACTAGCAGTCAATAGCTCAAGAGATGTATATCAATGGGAAAGTCGGCTGTCAGGGACTTCTCCAAATTACTGAGAAGCCGTGATGTCAGTTTGAAGACTAAGGTGTTCCTGATTCAAGCCATGGTCTTTACAATCAGTTGCTATGCATCTGCAAGCTGGACAATGAATAAGGATGACAAAAGAATTGATACTTTTGGATTGTAGTGTTGAAGAAGAATACTGACTATTCCATGGACTGCCAAAAGAATAAACTTATATCTTGGAAAAAGTGCATTGAGAGTGCTCCTTGGAGGCAAGGATGGTAAAGCTTTGTCTTGCATATTTTGGGCATATTTTTAGGAGAGGCTATTCTTTTAAGGACATCTTCCTCAGAAAGGTGGAAGGTCAGGAGAGAGGAAGACCCTCAATGAGAGAGATTGACACAGTGACTACAGCAATAGGCTCAGGTATGTCAGAGATGATGAGGATGGCACAGGATAGGACAGGGTTCAAATCTGTTGTTCACAGGGTCGCCATGAGTTGCGTTCAACTCAGCAGCACCTAACAGCAACAACAACATAGGGTGTGGGTGAGTTCAAACTGCTAGTCTCTCAGATATCAGGAGTGGTGAGGCATTTTACCATAAAGGCTCCTTCCCGTAAAGATTAGCAAAACTAAAACCAAACCTACTGCTGTAGAATCAGTTGTGACTCATAGTGACCCCATAGAACAGAGTAAAACTGCCCCATAGGGGTTCCAAAGCTGGAACTTTCTCCCTTGGAGCAGCTGTTGAATTTGGTTAGCAGTCAAGCGTTGACCACTGTACCAGTCTAGGAGACTTTATGAGACAATTTTACTTTGTCCTGAGGATTGCTGTAAGTCAGAATCCATTTAAAGGCAGAGGATTTAACAAGTTTAGAAGGGCAAGTGGTAGAAAAGGAGATGCAGGTCCTAAACACAGATGGAGGAAGGTCAGTGAAGAACAGAAATTCAACAAGTTGTCCATCCCACCCAGATTCACAAACTTAGGAGCCTGGCTTCTTCTGACCACAAGAAGAGGGAGCTCTTTGTAGATAGGGCTGAAGGAGAGGTGGGGGTTGCTGTACAGAGCTGAAGGACTGTATGGTGGGATTACAACAAGGAATCTGCTGAGAACTTTCAAACAAGGTTCTCTGAGAGACTGCAAGGGCTAGATCCAATCAGAAATGTAGTCATCTTAGTGTTTTAATTCTTAAAGTAATCCTTGAACCAGTATCAGCTTGAAGAGAATGAAAAATGCCCATCGTTCAGCCCCTAGACCTACAGAATCAGAAACTGGGGTGAATTACAGCATTTTTTATTTTTTAATTGTAGACAACTACTTGGCCAACAGATATGTCTTAGAAAGGGTGTGGCCAGAGTGTCCTTGGAGGCAAGGGTGATGTAGCTCTATCATTCATACTTTGTCATTTGGACATGTAGCTAGGCGTGGCTACTTGAAAAGGGACATGACATCATTCTTGGAAAGATGGAGGGTCAGTGAAGGAGAAGACCTCAATGAGAGGGATTGATGCTTCAGCAATGGGGTCTAGTATCTCAGAGCTGGTGAGGATGGCACAGGATAGGGCAGGTTTCAGGATGATTGTTCATAGGGTTGCTAGAAATCATACTCAGCAGCTCCTAACAACAACATAACCTGGCCAGCTAAATGGAAGAGTTTTGTATTTGTTCCCATTCTAAAAAGGATAATCCAGCAGAGTGTGGACATTTTCAAACAATAGCATACTATTGTGTGCAAGTAAAATCTTGCCGAAGATTGTTAAAAAATGACTGGAACAGTACATCAACAGAGAACTGCCAGAAGTTCAAGCTGCATTCAGAAAAGGTCATAAAGGGAGCTCTGGTGGTCTAGTGGCAAGAAGCTGTACTGCAATCTCAAAGGCAAATGGTTTGAATCTACCAGATGCTTTGCTGGAGAAGGAGGGGCAATCTCCTCCTGTGCCAATCAGATCTGATGTGACAGTACACAAAAAGAAAAGAAAGAAGAAAGAAAGGAAAGAAAGAAAGAAAGGAAACACCAAAAACCAACAACAGAAGAGGTCATGAAATGAAGGATGTCATTGCTGATATCAGATGAATCTTAGTTGAAAGCAGAAAATACCAGAAGAGTATTTACTTGTGTTTTATTGCTTAATCAAAAGCATTGACTGTTTGGATCATAACAAATTATGGATAACATGAGAAGAAAGAGAATCCCACAACACTTAATTGTGCTCCTTTAAAACTTATATGTAGACCAAGAAGCAGTTGTCTGAACAGAACAAGGGAACATTTGTTTAAAATCAGGAAAGATATGTGTGAGAGTTGTATCCTTTCTCCACACCTATGCAATCTGTATGCTGAACAGATCATTGGAGAAGCTGGACTATATGAAGAAGAATGTGGTATCAGGGTTGGAAGAACACCCATCAACAACCTGTGTGATACAGATGGCACAACCTTGCTTGCATAAAGTGAAGAAGACTTGAAGCACTTGCTGTAGAAAATC